GGGCATCGCCACAGCAGCGCCGTCGCGCACCCGCAAGCGCAACGCATCGGGCCTTTTTGCCCACCGCGCCCGGCGCCGTCGCGGCGCAGGGCGACCGCGCGGAACCATTGCGCCCCCAGTTCCTCCAGCAGGAACAGGAAAATGGATTCGCAGTGGCCAGCGCACAACAAGGGTTCTAACCAGCGGAGGGCCCGCGCAGCTAGCGTGCGCTGCGGGCGAGCCTACGCCTTGCGCGCGAAAGTGCGCGCTTCGAAGGCTGTGTGCTTAAGGTAATGCCACGACGGTGTCTGCGCGGGAATGCCCTCTCGAGAAGCAACCGAATCGACGTCAAAAGGGTCGAGCTTGCGGATTATCTCCTTTATCGCAGAACGCTTGCACAGTGCCGCGGAAAGGGCTTGTGTCCCAGCGAGAAGCAAACCTGGAATCGCAGGACCCTTCGTCGTTGATTACGTTATGTTTTCGCGGCAAGTGGACGGCCATTCACCAGCAACCCGTATTCCGTTTTACTGATGACGATTTCTCTGAAAGGTCTTGGAGCTCAGGGGCGTGGCCGAAGCGGAACTTGACGCGGCATGCCGCAGTCGCGTTGTCATTCCGGCGCGCATCGCGCAAACCGCGGAGCCAGTTTGTGGTTTGAGAAACAAGTTTTTTGCAAGTGATCGCGTCGGCAATGTCTGCTAGAAGGCTGAAATCCTCTGGCCAGGTGCCGCCCCGCACAATGCCAGAGCTGCATAAGTGATAAGACCGCCCGCGTATTTGGGAGGCATCCGCATATGCGCCCCGGGACGCCCCCAGACGCAGCAAGGGCGCGCCAGTTTGCAAAATCTTCCGCCGCTTCGACAGAGGGTCGGCTGCAGTGTGCAACGGCCGGGCGGGAGAGATTTCCAATGCTTGAATCTACCGCGGAATATGAACCAAGCATTGGACAGGGGTCTGCCGCGGGACTTCGAGCCCAAAGGACACGCGCGTTCGATGAGTCCAGCGCCGACCAAACGCGGGGAAAACGACGACGGCCTCGAAGAAAAAAATCGCTGACGTGCGAAGCGAGTCCGGCGGATAAGGCCAGAGCGCGCGCCCAGAGACCTCCGGCGGCGTTTGTCAGCAAGCTTTCGGAGAACAATGGGGCGCATCAGTCGCATGTTTCCGTTCATTGAGAGGCGCGCCGAATACCCGCCGCACCCGCGTCTGCCCTTGAGGGGGCTTCCGAAACCAAGCGGCTTGTTGCTGACGGGGGCCTCGGAGATGACGTTTTCCTGCCCTTTGAGAACAAGGCCACGCGCGTTCGAGCAGACTGGCAGGTTCCGACCGCGGAGGGAAAAACCGTATTTCCCCCAGGTGTTCTAAACGGCTCCATTTGCGCACAGCGAATTCGACGGTGTCAGCAAAGGGCACCGGTTGAGAACTTCAGAGGATGACTTCCGCATCCGCCTGCGGAGTCTCAGATACTTCGCCTTCAGAATCCATCGTCGCAGATGAACGACGCAGCTGTCCATAGACGCACAGCGCTGAGAAACTCAACGCGGATTGGGCGAGAATGCGGTTTGCTTACCAGGCCGACGATGTTGGAGGCGTGCGCGAAAGAGCCGACGGAGGCGGGCAGGCACGCCGGCGTACTGAATGCGCCTGCAGGTTGCCACACCCTGGCAGGAAAAGAGCCTGAAGATCTGAAGACCCATTGGCAGCGCGGGGACGTGACTCCCCGACCAACGGGGCACTTGCGACCGCTTGTTGCCTGTGCCAAGTACGGCCTATGAATGGCCCAAGTTGTCAAGACCATTGGGCGGCCTGACAGTCCCCCACGTGCTACGAGACTGTTGGCGTTGGGCCAATTCAAATTTCAGAACTTCCGAATGGCTTCGACCACCTCCAATTCAACCAATTGTGGTATCGCGTTGTGAATGCACAGCCCTGTGAACCAAAACGGTCTTGGCTGTATACTGCACAGTTGCACGACATCACGTTTGGATCCAGGATGTATCATGAAATGCTCCAGCTCGCAACGTGTCTGGAACGCCTGCTTCAATGTGATAGGATCGACTCATCTCCAGCCTTGTTGGGCTCCTTAGAAAATACATGCATGACTCAACACTGAGATTTCGAATGGGGTGTGATGACATCCCGCTCAATGTCTACGGCAATGTGGCGAATAGAGCCCACATCTCCCAAACCATATGTGGAGTTTCTCCTGCGAGTTCATGTCAGACCTAACGAAGTCTCGGTTCGCTCAGGTAGGCCCCCTTTCCAAGAATTTCACGGTTTTCGGCAGCGTGTCTATCAGTTCGCATGCCACATCTCTCCATTGTGCAGCGAGAGTTTGCTAGCTGCTAGCTAGCTGAAGGAACCCACTGATGTACATGCGCGCGCACGGGCCGCCCACCTTCTCCGGGACGATGCGGCGCAACCCCTCGCGATGAGCCTCGATTCGTTGGGATCGCCAAAGGGGCGTTGAGATGCGGAGGATAGGTAGTCCATGCGGGCCCTCGGAGAGGGATTGCCCGACCGGCGCTCCACACTAGGAGCTTTGTCATCGTGGCTATACATTCTCCCCGCTTGAGGCCATGTGATACGTGCCCCCTCTCCTGCCTACATGATGCAGCCGATGCGATCGTTCGCCTCTTCCCCCGCCCTTTCCTTCTCCCCCCCGCCCCTCTCATATCTTCTATCCTGTCCCCTCACCGCCCCCCCCCCCTGCCCACCACCTGCGCCGCAGTACATGCGCCCCGCGTGCAGCGCACAAGTCCAGAGCGTAAGATGGCAAGGAGGGCAAGCTAGGCATAAACACGCGTACGTGCGCTCTTGATGTGGTGTATTCATGAGACCGCAGACAGACCAGTCTACACTTTGCAAATCCAGGTGCGGAAGGGGCGGGGAGTCGCTGACGACAAGCTGCGCAGACAATGCATTCTGGCGGTCTCCTGCTCTGCTTGTTGAGCTCTACTCGAGAGTAGCCGCTGATTTCGATCGGCGTCTGGCGCAGTATCTCCTCAGTTCGTTTGTCCCGCTCAGCGCCGCAAGTTCGAGCAGGAGGCGCAACGCTGCCAAGATCCCCATGCAGCCTCCCAGCGTGCCGTCATCGCTGAGGCACATCATTGCCATCGCGCTTTTTGCAGAGACGATGGAAGGGGAGAGGCCTTGCGCCGCCTCACGCGTGACCAGCCCATCATCTCGTTCGAGGTCTTCAAACGGTCGCTCCGTCTTCCCACTTGCCCTGCAATGAGCTTCTCTTTTGCAGCATTGCAGGCTCAGAGTCGGCATGTGCAAGCGCCATGGACAAGGTGCGAGCCACCACCAGAGGGGCCGAAGCACGAGTATCGGCATCGTAAAGCAGAGGACCAGCAGGAAGAGGAGGTGCAGGAGAAGCAGCGGCACAATGAGGTGGGAGAGACTGAGGATGGAGCAGCGCGGTGGAGGGGATGATGAGTAGGAGAAGGGTGACCAGGAGAATGAGGGAAAATGATCAGATGGGGATGTGTACATAAGTAGGTTGGAGGACGGAGGAGGAGTCGTTCTTGCAGCGCGATTAGCCAGGTGGTACCTGAGTTCCGAGGCGCGTGCTGAGCTTGAGGTGCCGATGCGTTGTGTGTTTCTTTTTTTCTCTGTTGGAGAAGGAGAAGCGGAGAGATCAGCAGCAGAGACAGAACCGATGGCAACACTTAACACAACAATGGCCTGCCACATCTGGTCGCGTGAACTTGTTGTGCATTCGGACCAGGGGTATCATCACGGCCGCTGCTGCATCAGGTGCCAACGAGCGTATTGGTAGCATCGGGCGTCGAACGTGCAGGCGTGACATTGTCGCTTCACGGCCGTGAGACTACGGGTGGCTCTAATAAGAGCTCCCGAAATGTATTGTATGGGGTGCGCGTGTGGGTCACTGCGGCGGGGGCGAAGGCGCACTCAGGCTAAAGCACTCGTACATGGATGGATGGCTCTATCATGTGCTGGCTATCTTGTTCAAGCCACTCTGGCTCAAACCATGCCCCCTGGTCTCCCTCGGCCCCGGATCCAGCCTCCGATAAGGGGCTGGCTCCAAAAAAAAGGCCTTCTGCAGGCGAGGAAAGGTGTGCTGGCCCCTCATCCTTCGGCCTCCAGATGCCTCCTGGATGCTTCCAGACGCTTGGCCTACGAAGACCTCTGGGGACTTAAGGAGGCTTCCAGAGACCGTCAGGGGACTTTCAGAGACAACGCCTCCTCCTCGAGTTCCTCATCCCCCTGCTCTTCCTAAGTGCGCCCCCTCTTACAGCCACTGTCTTACTCCAGCTTCACATTCACAGGTCCATGTTGCAGGCGATGAGGGTTCTCGATGTCGTCTAGGAGCCTTGGCCAACGTAGAAGCGTTGTTGAGGCTCTCAAGTCGGGCCTTGAACATCCACCAGACGCTAGCCCCTCGGAGTCACTCAGGACTCCTTGCCGGGCTTGCGGGGCTGATCTCCGCGGCGCACGCGTAGGCCGCCGCCCGCGTGTGCGGAAGGGAGACGAGGGTCCGATATGTCCGTTCAGGCGCTGGTAGCACACTCTTGCGAGCGAGGAAGGCGCAGTGGCGGCAGAGTGCAGTTGAGCCAGAGCTCGCGGCAACGAAACAACACGGATAATGGCCGATGTCGGGGATGATGAGAGTGTAGACGGTGGGTCTTCATCGGCGTTCCGATTGCTTCGCGACGACGCGATGCAGGGCTCGGGAAATCGCGGACTGCGAATTGGCGCGGGCTCTCGAAACTATTGTTTTTACGTCTGGATTTTGCGGTATCCCGTTTTGAATATCGGATCTGATTTTTATTATCTTTCGGGGGCGATCCCAGGGCCCCGCGATCCCGCACACCAGCGTTGACTGCGTTGGGAGATCCCTCAGAAATGGATGACCGATGTGCGTGTGGGCGCAGTGCCCTGCTCGGGCCCCGCAGCGCACGTCGAAATTGATTGCTGGATCGGCGCATGCATGAAGGATTGGAGGGGGCCTTTCCCTCCGTCCTTTCTTGCTCTTCCTCCTCCCGGGCGCGGGCGTGCTCCCCAGCGCGGCGCGCGCGATTCCAGTGTTCGTTTGGTTTCGTTTTGTTTCCTCCTTCCCATCCTCCTTGGTCTTCGACATCGGACCTCATGTTCGAAGCGCGTTCTCGCCAGAACCTCGAGAGGCGCCCGGCCACGGCGGCGAGGGCCCTGCGGGAGGACGCGAGCCGCGTCAGAATTTCCTTCCCCCCCCGTCCCCATCTGGTCTCCTCGTCATCGCTCTCTCTCTTCCCCTTCCCTGCGCTTCGTCTCCTCCTCTCGGTTCGTCCCCCCCCTTCGCCGTTGCCGTCGCCGTCGTTCCAGCATGGTTTGTCACTGCTGTGTCACAGCAGTGCCACCCAGTAGCGTGCTACAGGCGGTAGGTTTGCAACGTGCACGGCTTCTCATTATTTGTCTCTTCCTGTCTCTTTCTCTCTCTCTCTCTCTCAGTTTCGTCATTTCTTTTTTTATGTATGTGTGTTTTTGGTTTCTTTTTTGTTTCTCTCTCTCTCTCTCATTTTCCCAATCAATATACCCATATGTATGTGTATGTGTAAGTCTATAACCATATATAGGTCGTATATGTATATGTTTGTGCGATAGTTCTCTCCTTTTCTATATGTTTCTCTCTTTTGCATCTTTTCACCCCCCGCATTGGGTTCTCGTTTTGTTTCGTTTTGAACAGAGCACTGTGGTGTCCGTCCTCTCCTCCTCTTCCTCTTCGCCTCCTGCTTCCGCTTCATGCATCCTGCTCCGTCCTCGTTTCCTCCTCTTCGCCTCCGATTTCCCCTCGTCAAGCCTCCTCCTCCTGTTCCTCCTCCTCCCCCTCCTCATCATCACCCTCATCATCAGCATCCTCCTGCTCTTGCTCCTCCTCCTTTCTCGCCTCCTCCGCGAGTTAGCCACGTCGGCAATGCCAGGAGCGAGGCAGCGGCCGCGCCGCTCAAGGCCGCGCCTTGGCCGACCCGATCCGAAGCCAGCGTGGGCCTCCACCCCACTCCGCCCGCGTTCCGCTGGGAGGCAACGCGGGGCCCCCCATGCTGCTGGTGGTGCAGGCCACCCGATGGGTCGACTGGAGCCCGCTCAGCCTCGCGGGCCGCGGCCGCAAACTGGGGATATCACCTTGGCTTATTCTGCAGAGCCGGATTTTTCTTGCCCCCGCGCCTTTTGTCGTTGAGTCGGCCGCAGCATCGCCGCGGCAAATGGGAGAACATGTTAAATAGGGACTCGTGCTTGAAAGAAATATATGCGGCCCCATGAAAGCCCGCGCGGCCCGACGTAGAACAAGCAGCGCCAGCTCCGATAAACTCTCGCAAGGCAGGCCACGTCGTGCACGTGTTCGACCTACGCGACCCAGTCCAGCGCAACGAAGCCCAGGTCAATGCAGCCCCGCGCGTTGCAACAAGCTAGTTTTAGATCGCAGCCCATCGAAGCCCAGTCCAGTTCGGTTTTGCGTTGTCATCGAGCGGCGCGCCAGTCCTGCGAAGCCTTAGCCGGCCCGACCTAGCACAGCTTGGCCCGATACCTTATCAGAGGGAAGTTCGACCCATTCTTGCTTCAAGCGGCCGCGGTCGAATCACGGCGGACGTAGTCTCACCGTTGAGGACCTTGCGCTGCGTGAGGTCTGGCGTGTTTTGAGTGTAGAATGGTGTTCGCTCCCGTGCCATTTGTGCTTTTTGTGGCTTGCTGGTGCTCTGGTTTGCCAAGAGGTGTCTTTCGATCATAAGAAGTTGTCTGGGCGTGCTTCAGCCATTATGTTGCCCCTCCTCTTTCTTCCCTTCCCCGGGCCCCCGTGCGTTGAAGTTCGATTCGCGTGGTTATGCGGCTTCGTGCAGATGTGCCAGAAGACGCCCTGGGGCGGTGAAAAAATGCGCGTTCGCTTGCGCGTCCTCACCCTCGACTTCCTCGACTCTCCTTGTATTTCCGTCGGCGCGGCTCAGGTGTCGCTTCGTTATCAGAGGAGACTAAACTCCCTGCGTCGGCCCGCCTTTCTGCCCACTGCAGGCCGATGGGGTCCGAGAGGAATTCGATCGGCACGGCCCGCCGGCGGGGGGGTTCGGCGCCCGCTGCGACGCGCGCGCGATTGCCAGACCAGCGGGGACCACCGCGCACCTCTCGCGTGACATAGCGAGTCCGTCGCCGCGGTTTCTGCGCCCGCCCGCCCCGCGCTGATGCGCTACAACAGTTGAAATGCTACGCCAGCACGCGCGCGTAAAACGCGGCGGCGGCGCGTTGGCGGCGTCTTTTTACTCATGAGGGCAAAGATTCTAGCGCCGATGGCGCAATGGCGCCGCTGGCGCCACATGTTCTATTGGGTCGTTTCGACACGTCTTTATGACCTAGTGAGGGCGCGACGCGCATTGCCAATCAATGGGCGCGCAAGATGTCATGCCACGCGCGAACTTTGGAGGAGCATTGGGGGGCACGACGTTCTTTTTTGCGTTGTTGTCTTTCGGTGCCGGGGGCATCCTAAGTTCATTCATTTCTTGGGCGGCGGGGGTTGGGTGGGGCGCGCGGCGGGCTGGCAAGCGATTGGCGGGGCTGCGGGGGCTAGAGCCAGGCGCGCCTGGTGCCTGAACCCGGGCGCGGAATTCCACATAACCTGAGCCATGCTGCCTGGGGTGATGCCCGTGCTGCCTTTATTCTCGTCGCCATCGTTTTCTTCCACGTCCTGCTTTTCCTCCTGCGTTTTTTGCCGACGCCGCTTCTTTTCCTTGTGCTTCTCTCGTCGCTCGATCGCATTCGCGTCCGGATTCCTGGCCAGATTGCCTGGCCGAATTTCTCGGTCGGGTTTTTGGCCGGATTCCTGGCCAGATTCCATGCCGGATTTTCTGGCCGGGTTCTTGCGTCGCACAGCGGCCGGATTCTTGGCCAGATTTCTTGGCCGATTCGTTTGGCGGTTTTGCCTGGGACTCCATTGAAAGAAAATTTGGCGCAACAGTTCGGCGCGCAATTCGGCCCCCGCGCGCCCAATGTTCCAAGAGAAAAATTCGGCGCGACGCCCTTGGAGGGGGTGCCCTGGCCGAAAAAAATTGGCCGCCAGCGTGGCGGGCGGTTGCGCGGCCCCCGATGGGCCGATCGAAATTCGACCGTCACTCCCCGCGGGCCCAGAAAATCCGCTCGGTCAAATCGCTCAGGGATCAAGAAGCAAGTGGCAGTCTGTTCGGCAGACGAGTGGTCGCGCGCGCGCGTGGCAGTCATTTGAAGCAGCATGAGAATCGCATTGCCACTGACATGTCGGGGCCAGCGGCCCATGGGATGTGGCGCGGAGGTCAAGGGCGCGGCTAGGTCAGGCGCGCCAATGTTTGATCGAACGCAGGAGGCGAGATTCCGCTGCCAGGGGCGGCCCGCGCGAAATTGGCAGTCATCCTGCGTCGGCATTTTCAATAGAGTGCCGCTGAGTGCGGTTGGGTTTGACAGGGGAGGGAGGGCGACGGGTAATGAAGGTGGACAATATCAAAATCTAGAAAAATGCCAGTGGAGCTGTGCGCATCATGGCGACGTGGAGGGCCCACGAGACAGATGACGACGTCGATGTTCGGTTCGATCGACTGATCGGTGGTCATGTTGTCACCGCACTTT